AATTGAACTCCTTATAAATGTAACTCTAACCCCATGATTTTTCAATGATTAGGGTACATTCAACAAAATAATACTTTTTCATTGATTCGAGAGGAATACAATTAGCATTAATTGAACTCCTTATAAATTTGTTTAATTTCAATGAATGTACTATAAACAAAACATCGTACAACTTCTTGTACAATTTATAATTAATAGGCACTCGTAATGTTTTGAAAGTTTTCAAAATGCATTCGCCCTCGGGCTCGTGCATTTACGAAGARCTTTCAAAACATTRCTSGTGACTATTGATTATAAATGGTAYTCAAGGTCKTGCRCCGATTTCCTATACAAACACGTATCGAATACTATGCAAATTYAATGTTTGGTTGTTTCTTTCTTCAGACTACCAACCGAAGCCCTTCTGTACTTTGCCTCAGAAGCCATCCCACGACGTTGTCCACCGTCTTGAAGAAGTATCCATGACACTTGACGAGATACGTCGACTCAGAACTGCGTTCCCGAATCATGTCACAGTAACATATTTRTCAGGAAATCCTGGCTGTGGAAARAGCGAGCTTGCAAGACAGATTGGAGAAAAATACTTCGATGAATTTGAAAAAGACGAGTCGTCCAAATTCGTGGCTACATTAAATGCATCGAGTCTCGAGAGTCTTATTCAGTCGTACATGGAACTGGCATTCCAGCTTCGATGCAACGACGTATCCCTGATCATGTCATCAGAAAAGAATTCTCAAGAACAGAAACTTGCTCAGTTGCAAGCGCTCGTAGTTCCAAAGTTTCAGAAATATTCCTCATGGCTGATTATTGTTGACAACGTTGAAGATATTAAAATGGTTTGCAAATTTATACCGCACTCAGGTCAAAAGCTCCTGCATCATGRAAAAGSACATATCCTGWTYACTACTCAAGACATGGAGTCTATACCAACAAGCGATTCGCATGCACATCACATCCCGCTTAAAAATGGTATGAAATTACATGACGCAGCTCAGACCYTGTATGAAATATCTGGATTGCCATGCGACGAAGAAATCGCAAATAAATTATGCGAAAAACTAGACTTTCARCCTCTAGCGCTTGCCTGTGCAGCAGTGTACATCAGACAAACACACTACGCTGACCCTAGCATGAACTGGGAATGTTATCTTGAAAAAGTGGAGAAAGGAAATCTGATRTCGGCTGATGAACTTTACGAGAAAACAAATCACCCCTACCAGAGATCTATGAAGACTGCTATTAAGATGGCAGTTGAAAAGATTTTAGAAAAAAATGGGGTGTTACGGCATACATTTGAATTTATGGGGGCTTTTGCCCCAGAGTTCATATCACTAGAACACGTTATCAGCTATGTACGTCAGTGCATGCCTAATATGGAAAAAGAGAATGTAGCTATAGCCATTACCTCATCCGCCCTCATCATTACTTCCGAAGGCAGCTCTAAACGACAGTCTGTTCGCGTTCACCAAGTTGTCTATCATGTTCTTCAAACCGTCTATGAAGTAACATTCCTGCAACCAGTCGACGAATTTTCATTTTTCATGAAACTCGTCAACGTATTTTCTTACATCAGGGACATTGGCGCAGATATAATGAAATTCTTTCAAGAAACAGCTCCTCTAATAGAGCACTTTGTCTTTTTCTCGGAAAAGGTGAAAGATTATTTTGAAAGGCATCAAATTTTAAAGGTACTAAAAGAAGCAAAGCTTTATGGAGTACATTATCAGTGTAATAAACTATTTACACATCAATACATTCCATTTGCCAGGTTCCTTGTGGAAACTGTTTCTTATGTATGTAGAGAGCACTGGAACTATAGCACAGCAAGAACATTATGTGAGATAGGCCACTGCCTAATTGAAAACATCTATAAAAGCGAGGAAATTACATACGGCAGCAATAATCCTGAGGTGGCTACAACGTTACATAATTTAGGATTAGTGTTGGACAAACTCGGAAAACTTGATTAAGCGAAAGATTGTTACGATAAAGCACTGGCAATTAAAGAAAGCAATTACGGCAGCAATCATCCTG